TCTTTTCATGTGTAAGTAGTTCACCATTTCTGTTTCAAAATGCAGGAGGTGCATGTTACTACTTTTTAATTTGCTGGCTTTGCTGATTCTCACTTAACTCAGTGCTAAACTTTGATTTATATTTATTTACATCTGGTAGATATGTATTTGTCATATATTCATATATAACCAACATAAAGGGGTTTTATATGTATACATTTTTTTATATACATTTATATTATTTTTCCTGCCTAACTTCACTACTTGAGATATATATTTGTATCTCAAATAGTAATGCTAGGCAGGAAAATAAAGTCGTTTTTGCTCATCTGCCTTACTGTAATAATGCTCTCCTGAAGCATTAGGTCAGCTCTACTATGGCAAACAAGGCTAAAAATAATACTTGAGAAAAATATGGATTGAAGTAAAATGAGCACGAGCAGCAGCCACTAGATGGCAAGACAGGCTCACATTACTTTGCAGGGCTGGGTTTGGGCTGTTGTTTTTTTTTTTTCTCTTTATATAAGAGGAATATGTAACATTTGTATTTCAAACATGGTGTCGACACTTCTCTCCCATGCCATTCCAAGTTTATCTGGTGATCTGAAGTTGGTGAAGGAAGCCAACCACTTGAAAAGCCCTTTAGAAAACACAGGCACCACGGAAATAATGTTTAGTGGTTAAGTTGAACTAGAAGAGATTTTAACAAATGTGCTGAAAAAAGTAATGTTTTTAAAAGAAAGGGCACTTCACTTATGTGTGAAAAGGTACAGACAAGTGTTAGAATTTGACTTTTAACAGAATTACCGAATTACACAAATGAACTGTCAATTGTAGAACAACCTGCTTCCCCCACAACTCCCAGCAGGGTCTCCCAGGCGAGTGCCTCTAAAACCACGCACACTCCTCACACAGCCAAACCTTTGGACAGCCAGGGAACAGAGGAGCAGAGGACAACTGGGGTTTAACTGAACATACATTTAAGTGCTTCTCCTAATTGCAGTGCAGAAGCAGCAGCCAGGGGCAGGCTCTGGGCAGTGCTGGGTGGCAGTAACTTGGAGAACCAGTGGAAAGTGCCCCTGCCCATGGCTGGGTTTGGAACACGAGTGGCTTTAAGGTAACTTCCAAACCATTCCACGCTGCCCTGTTTTAAACTTTGCCTTTAGGAGTGCTAAAACTGGAAATTTAACTAAAAGGCAAATAAAAGCCTGTGAAATAAATAGTTTACATTCTTTTTAAGAACTCCAAACACCTCAATGAACACATGCTCCCAAACTTGCCTCTAGCCTCTGCTCATTTTCTTACTAACACCAACACTTGTCCACAAGGATCAAATGGTCTGCAAAACCACAAACATAGCATCTCTAAAACTGTTTAGCTACCTTAAAATATCAGTGAAGAGCAGGATGGAAATGGTCCTCAGTACCTGAAGAGCAGCAGTTGCACCTTCAAGACTGGATGTGGAAACCTGAAAGTCTCTGAATTCTATGACCTGAACCTTTGATCACAAGTGGAAGATTTAACTCACTGTAAATGAGTTTGTAAGAGCCTTGTATAAAGCTGTGGCTGTTGACATTATATACATCCACTAACATTAGACCCAAAGGTAATTATTTATTATTACTCAGTCTTTGAGTTGCTCAGTTACTATGTCAGGGTCAGAGAGGGCTCCAGAACCAAGGACAAAGAGCAGGTCACACTGACATCCATGACTGGCCATATGAAGAAACTAACAAATGATGTGGGACTAAAAATGTCCAAAAATTACTCATAAAATGTCCCAAATTACTTAATTTTATTATCACAGCAGCTAAGTGCCTTCCTCACACCTTAGCTCCATGTCCAGGATGTTATAGATGGGACAGCTGGAAAAGGATGAGGTATTTCCAGACTCAGGCTGGGTTTGGTTGGGCATTTCAGACGTGTACAAATAAATTAATCTCACCTCTATGCAATCTAGTATAATTTCATGACTTCTGCTGCCCAAAGCAGCTGTTTGGGTTATACTATTTGGAGTTAAAGAGTCCTGTATGGCACAACTCTTGTGCTCCACACATTCAATTGCTTCAATGAACCAAGAGCAGGTTCAGTTTCTGTTTCACAGAGTTATTTCCAGAGTCCCACTACTGCTCAAACTGAGAGAAGATGAAGACAAGAAGTATGTGTCTATGAACTTACATTCAAACACAAATACACCAGGGAGGAAACTGAGGTACATGCTAACTCCACATAAACACTGACTTTTCAAATTTCACTTTTGACACTGCAAACAATTTTTCCTAAAAATGAAAAAAGCCACAATGAAATAAAACCCCAAAACCTCATTTATTTGATGACAATAGCTGCGTACAACCCCACCACCCTCCCTGCACTGTGCCACTTTTCTGGACAGTCAGCACTGCAGTGACCATCACCCTCACCTGAACTGAAGTATTAAAGTACAACTACAGAGGGATACAAGACTAATTCAACTGCTGGCTGCAGAACTTCTACCTCTGCAATACAGGCATGAAATGCCACAGGTTGCTAATGAACATCAGTGCTAATGGTCTACCTGCATGAGAAAACCTCATTTTACACAGAGCAGTTTTACCACATACTGTCTGAGAAACAACAATTCTCCTGTATTTCTCTACCTCCATGTGCTACACTAGCATTATTTTTTTTAAATAAAATATATTCCTTTTCTTCTATAAAAAATAAGTGTCTCAAAAATCATGGTAGAAGTCAGCAGGGCCAACCAAAGTGATGCCTATTGCTGTTTCTTCACTCCCAGCACATTTCCCACCCTGGACTGTGACACTCCCCTGCTCTTGTAAGAGCCCACTGCAGCAGCAATGATCCCACCTTGCTTACATCCCTGTGAGTGCTCAGTGCCCACCCAAAGCATGAGTGCAAGAGGGAGGAAATTACTTTACATCATCTGTGACCCCTGAGCTCTGCAAGCAAAGCTGGCAGGTGCTGGCTGTCAGCAGCTTCAGCTCAGCCCAACCCAAACAACTCCTGAAAGCAACAACAGGCACATTTAACATTCCAGAGTGACCTTCCAGATAAATTTCAGGCTAAAGGAATTAAAATGTTACGAGGCTTTTGTGGAGCAAAGTCTCAGTGCACTAAATACAGACACAAGCACCTCTCTCTTGCTCTGCCCATGTGGACTGACTCTGGAGAACAAACTGTTTGCTGTCATAATCCAGGTGTGAGGGGCAGGTCTCAGCTCCACAGAATGAGGGTTGCCAGCTCTCAGACCAAGGCAGATGAGCTTGTTCTCTGTGGTTTGTTTTACTCTGGGATCAGAGGAATTGCAGGAGAGGATGGAGAAACAGCCTGTCCATGTAAAGGCCTACCAGAACAGCAGCACCCATGAAGGAAGGACGAGGTTTTCACCATGAGTTCCCCTTTCCCGCCTGTGATTTCACCTGTGTTTCACAGCAGTAGATGATGCCCCTCCATTTTCAAGTTTCACACATGGAGGCTCTGTCTGCCAGCACATTTCCTCGTCCTGGGGCACGCTGACCTTGGTGAGGCTGAGCTCTGATGAAGGTTTCAGAGCCTGGCACCCAGTGCTGCCTGACAACACCCACGGCAGCAGCAGAGCTGTCTGCACTCACAGCCTCACACACCTCAGGCTCCCACTGGGATGGAACCCTCTGGATTTTGGCTTAGCTCCCTTGCTGGGACTGCTCCCAAACACATCAACGCACCCACTACCTCACCTGATTTCCAAACTTACATGTATTCTTAAGCACACAGCTACAGCAAGAATTAATAATGTCTTGGAAAATGCTCCTTTTCACTCTCAGGCCTCGTAAAAAGAGGAGGATGATGTGGTTTCAAGTCAGACACTGGCATACAATGAGATTTTACCTGCACTCAACTTTCTATCAGATTGTCTTTCTTACATCTTCAAAGATCTGGAGTGGCTAGAAGTCTATTCACACTTCTAAAAACAAAACTCCCACATCCTCCTTCTGTAAAACTGTTAAAATAGTTACTCTCTCCTCTGTGCTTCACACACTTGTCCTATCTGTGCCCCTTCCCCATCTTAGTAGTCATCACAGACAATAACAAAAAAGTTAATTCCTCTGACATCACAACTGAAGTGGGAGGCTGAAGTTCAAAAAAAAATAAAAGTGAAATATTGATATAATCTAAAAATTAAGACAAAAATTATGTGCAAAAGAGCCTACCTAACCAGCTGCTCAAAGCACTAAAAGCAGAAATAAATTAATTAATGAGTTCTGCCAGCTCCCAAGAATTTTGAGACTGGCAGCAGCTAGATATTTTCCACTTCACTTCCAAGTGTCTTTTCATTCATGTATTACAAATCAAGCCTCAGTTTGCCAATGTGGAGGAAAATAAGTGAGTTTTGGTGAGGAGGAGATGTAAGCCCAGCCTGGGAGCAGTGCAGAGTCAGGTCACAAATACCATGCTGGGCTTGCACTAAAATGCCAATTCTTCCACCATCATATCCTGTACTGTTACTGCCCAAAGTGCTACAAGGATGTTCAGCTCACGTACGACAAACCTGAACAGAAGCAGCACATGGTCTAAACCCCTGACTCAACATTTCAGGCACTGGGGTTGAGATCTTCAAGGTGCAGGGCAGTGCTCAGTGGGACATTCTGCATAGCCCGGGCTGAATTCCCACGGAAGCTGAGGAATCTGGCCTGTGGCTTTAGCACAGAGCTGAACACAACCAACAACATTCTGACTTTAAAATCTCCACGGAATGTTATGTATATTACCATAAGAAATTATTTTAATATTGCGTTTTTTTATCTCTGCTAAAACCTGGCAGCATTTCTTGTTCTGTGCTGTACTACTTCATAAATTAAATACTCATCAGTCAGGTCCCTTCCTTCTCACCTGTCCACTTCTGTTTAAAAATAAACTCTCAAATATTGCACCACACAGTGAGACATAGTTCAGAACAGGACCTTTTCTACAGACTTGCAAACAGTATTACAGAGGATTTTCTATCCTAAAATTCCTGTAATCATAATTTTTTTTCTGAATACCTGAAAAAACCCCGGTGGTACTGGACCTACTGGCATGCCATCTCCTGGGGGAATGTTTCCTAGCACTGGGCTGGGAGCTGCTGCAGCACTCTGAAAAGAACAAAGGGAGAATAAACCTTTGTCATTGCATGGTAGGCATTAAACCCCCCCCAAAAAAAAACCCCAAACCTGACCAAAGTGCAGAAAGTAATTCCCTGGATATGTCATTATGCCATTGTTTCATCTGAAGGTAAATTAAAATTGTTTAGCCTTTTGTCTACAAGTATCATGATTTGTTGAAATAACAAATATATGTTGAGGGGAAGGGTGCCAGAGATTGCACAGGCCAAATAGACAAAGCCTGACTGAATTTAAGAAATGTTGTATCTGAGTGTCTCTACATGCACCAATGTGAATGTAACTTCTTGTCTTAGGTGTATGAACAGTCTCACACATGCACAAGGATATACACAGACCAGAAAGAAAGTAATTTATGCATTTTATCAGCAATTTCTAAGCACTTTAAAGGTAATTTCAGCAGCCTGTAATATTTTTCCAGAACAACAACAAGCTTCAAAACAGGGCTCTGTTACAAACAGTACAAGAAGCGATGCACATGATTCTGCCGGTAATGTTCAAGATTTTACCAACCCCAAAAATAACCACCATGACAAATTAGAAGAATTCAGGTTATGTTTTTGGAAGGGAAAAGAAAAAAGGGATTTCTAAGGAGTGAATCAGAGGATGAAATTAGTTACCTTTGCAAATCCTTCAGCTGGAATAAGCGAGTAAAGAATATTGCTCCTGGCAATTTACATGCAGGAGATTGTCACAGAAAAGAGAAGCCAAACTGCTTCTGTTGTCATGTGTTAGAGCCTCAATTACTTTTAATTTCTAGCATTCTTCCTTCCTACAATGTGTTTCTGTATGGCATGAGGCTGAATCACCTATAAGTGCTCAAAATCCTGTGTGACAGTACTGGAGCACACAGAATGCTCCCAGAGCCACTGGCAGGTTACTAATAACCTGCCAAAGCCCGCCCTGCAAAACACACTGATATTAAATTATCACTCTATTTATTGTGCACTCACACTCGATACCCTAAAGATGCAGATCTGGAAACTGCATTTCCAGGTGTTTGGCACAATACCTAGGAAAGGAAAGAATAATGCTGGAAATATCTGAAAACTGGCACAAAAGGAGGAGTGACCTTTTTCAACCAAGCAGCAAGAAACATTCAGTTAATCACCACAGATTTCTTCATGGCTTAAGCTGTGTTTTAGAATTAAAGTTCTGAACAACTACCAGTAACATTTTTAGCATCCAATCTCAATGCTCTTTGGAAAAGTCTGGAATGTATCACTGAAATATGAAGTCTGCAAAAGATGCTGGCTTTCAAAACGAGTGCAAGGCTTTGATTCAACAAAAAATGCTCTAATAAAGGGTATTATCTATGCAAGGATCAGTGCTAAAACACTGTAGAATTGCTGCTGACAGGGAAAGCCAGCCAGGTGAGCTGGATGCAGCAAACACTTTGGAATTATACCCACAAATCATGCAGGGAGAGGCTACCACAAAGCAGCCAGAGCAGCCAGGGAAGCTGTGGCCAAAAAAGGTGGTGCTCTGCCAGCCACTGCCACTCATATCAAATAATTATTTTTGTATCATCTGCATTTCCAAAGCAAAACAGGACAAAAAGCTGTTGGGTTTGTTGTTTGGAGGGTTTTTTAAGGAAATATGAGCTCTCTAAGCATCAATGTGCAATAAACCCATGACAGGCACAGTCTGAGTGGAGCATGTTGGATGCACTAATACAGGTACAGGTTTTCTGGATGAAGGATGACAACAGCAGCACTACTGATGGAGAAAATCGATGATGTTAAAAGCCTGAGCATCTCCAAATGCCCCAAAGAGCCCGAGCTGCAGTGGCTGACCAAGGAGGAGCAGCCCATTAAAGGGGCACTGCTGGGCTCTATTACAGCACCATCATCCCCCAGTGCCCTGGGCTGGGCCACCTCACTGCCATGGGATGTGTCACAGGGGAGGGAGCAGCCCCTTGGGATGAGGAGCTCCCACAGGGATACAGCACCCTGCTGCTGAGAGTTCATGCTCTTTCCCACTTCAAAAATTATTCTTTAAAAGAAACACAGCAAATTTAGTTAAAAAATAGAGTGGCAGTTTGAAATTATGACTACTCCAGAATGAAGAGAGAAAAGGATTAAAGTTATAACTGTTAGCCATTTGCTGGCCTAAAAAGGCTTTGTAAGAAATAGACCTAAAAATAACATTTTCATAGTTGTCTCACAGAGGTGGGGTTTTCCCCCTGTTTCCACATCTCCCCTGGCACTGACACCAGAGGAACCCAGCCCCGTTCCTGGTGAATCACCAGGAACTGGCAGGGAGGGACTCGATGTGCTGGGTTTGATTTTGAGTGGATTTTTAGTGGAATTAGTGGATTTCCAGCAGCTGTTCAAACCCCCAGCCCTGCCCCTGTGAGAGGAGGGAGGGAGGACGCAGGGTCTGCGTGGCCACAGCAGCAGGGCAGTGCTGCTGACAGCTGCAGTGCCATTCCATAACCCTACAAATTCTGCAGTTACACTCTCAAGTGTTACAGAAACCTCCATTTCTACCCCTCATTATGCAATGCACTGTTATTAGTGGTTTTTGTTTTGTTTTTTTGTGGTTTTTTTTTTTTTTTTTTTTTTTTTTTTTTTTTTTTTTTTTGTTTTTTTTTCCCTGATGGGCAATGAAGTCCCAAAGCCAGAAATAAAGTATTTTCAGTGTTTTGGGTGTATTACATTTTCTAGCTTGTGCTAAATAATGAATCTTTTAAGAACTTCTACCAGGTAGATCAATAAACAAACCTGCAACTGCTGCATGGAAATATTCTTATTTATTCTATCCTGATGAATTATTCATTCTTTTTCCACAGTCCCATAGCAAACCATGGCCTCCTTTTGCATGCCTTACATGTTGTTCATCATTTATACTTCCATTAGTTTGACATTTTAAATATTTGCAAATTGCTTTCCCTGCTTTTCATAAAAAGATGAAATCGGAAAATTTAGATGGTATAAACTCCTTGTACAGTACTCCTTAAAAATGGAAATCTGTATTTGTTTTCCTAGCTAAAATAATGAATTTATACTAATGAATTTATATTAATTTACAATTATTAATTAAAACTGTGTAGTTGAGTGAAAGTTATTATGGTCATTCCTTCTCTACCCAAGCTACTCTTGGCAATGCAAAACTAGATTATTATAGTAACTAATAAAACTAGCTATGGTTTAGGATGGATTTTATAATAAAGAAATCCCAAAGTAAATAAAATGTAAAGAAAAATCGTTTAGCTATTCTACTAGTACAGTATCTGAAGTATAAAAATCCAGAGATAAACCTGCAATGCTCATTTTTTGAGGCCATCTCAAGAAGTGGCTGATGAGGGAAGCTTACAAACAATTTCACTTGAAACAAAAAAATTCTACAAAGAAATTACTTGACTTTATAAAAATCCTCACCTGACTCCTTCCTTCACCAAGACATTCAACTTCAGGTATTTTACTTACACTAAAACTTCTGTATTTTTATCCAAAGTTTACCACATGTTACTAAATTTGTCCACTCAAGGGGAAGTTCTGTTTTTAAGAAGTCTCACTGATGGGAAATGATGTAATCTACTGGATGATGGAGGGGAGGAGTTGGACCCTACAAATAAAAGTGTTAGACGCCAAATTTCCTCATCACCTCACCCTCCTCCACATCAGACCTAAATCTACTCTTATCATTTAGGAATACAAAATGTTCATATATTCATACAAGCAACAGAAGCATGGCTTCTCCAGACAAAGATATTCTGCCACAAATGGCACAGACACAATCAGCTGAGCTAGAGCAGAAAGGATCAACATCTCGGGATATTTTCATATACACTGCTACTGGGTTAATGAAACAAACTGAACAGTGAGTATGGCATGTGAAGGACAATGCAGGAAACCACAACCACGTCTGAAATCCTGGCAAGAGCACCACAGTCAGAAGGAAAAGCAGAAAACATAAACAATTGCTGCTTCTTTTTTTGTTCTTTTCTAGGGACAGGGGATAAATATCTGTTACATTAACTTAAGAAATTATGGGAAGTAAGGAATTTAAATGTAGCTGTAGGTTGAGTGGTTTTTTGGGTGGTTTTTTTTTTNTTTGGTTTGGTTTGGTTTTTTTTTTGTTTTTTTTTTTTTGAAAGACAAATGATGGATGATTACTATTTCCATTTTTTTTTTCTTTTTTTTTTTTTTCTGGTCATTGATAGCTTTAAAGTGGCAGACATACTGCAGCCAGTACCATAAAAAAAATCAAATTTCCTTTCGTAAACACTTCAACTTGCAACTTGCCACAACTTTCTAAGATATCAGCTGGTTCCTGTAACAGACTTTCACTATTTGTACACATCACAAATTAAAGAAGTATTAAAGGAACTACGTTGATAACCACTAGCAACCTCCGTGTTTTCTCCAAGATGAAACATAAAACTACTCATCACTCTGAACAAAATAATAAAATTCCAAAACTCCCAATACTTTAAATAAGTCTCTGTGCCTTTTACAAAGCCTTTGAACATGTAGCTGTGCACTAAGAAGCCAAAACCCCCAGACTGAGCAGCCTTGGTTTACTCAACAGATTGGAAGGTCATGCCCAAAAAAGGTGACGATTCATCACACTGAAAGAGGCAGGTAATTTGAAAGATCTGGATCATGAGACCTAATTAAACCCTGGCGTAGTTCCACTGATATATATTTGTCTAAACTGCTTAATTTCTGTTGTGTAACAGGGAGGCATTCACATGACCGTACAACTCTGAGAACTGCAGTTGCGGAAGGTCATTCCTTACAAGTTCTGTTTTCCTCCAATCCCAGCTCCCTGTGGTTTCATCTGGACTCTGGTATTTCATTTCTCTTCATTCCATCTTATTTATGGGTAGTAAAGAATAATAAAAATAATGATGCCATCAATGCAGATGAAAATCACATATATAATCCTTTCCTTGGAAACACAAAAAGGGTGTCACCAGCAGATCTGGTCAGTAAGGGAAGAGCAGATCTGTTGATGATGATGAT